CCTCGATCTCCATGGCTACTAAATCCTTGGTTCCAGTCTTGGCCCTGACCGCAGCCGTGACCCCCAGAACCCCCCAGGCCACCAGCGGCAGCACCTCTTCCTCCTTTTTGTTGTTGCCGGAGCTGCCTGCACACCCCATTGGCTGGGCAACTTGGATTTCCCACTTTCCAGGACCAATCGGATGACATCTGTCGTCTACCAATTTCTTTACTGGCTCCTCCTCTGTGTCAGTGATAAGACGAAAGCCCCTTTTTCCGTTTGTTTTTGTGTCCACGGGAAGTTCAGTATTTTCAGTCTCTCCGAAGTCTCCAAAGTATTCTTTGATTTGTTCTTCAGAAGTAACTGGGCTCAGTCTACCTACAAAGATCTTCAGGGGGGTTCCTTCCCTTTTAAAGCTTTGGGTCTTTGGGGGGGTCTATCAGTTCGCATCCAGTTTGGGCTCCTTCGGTTCCCAAACCTTATGAACCAGCAGCATCTTTTTTAAAAGTATATTTTATTGATTATGCTCTTACAGTTGTCCCAGTTTTTCTCCCTTTCCCCCTCTCCACCCTGTACCCCCTTCCCTCCAGCAATTCCCCATCCCCTTAGTTCATGTCCATGGGTCATGCATATAAGTTCTTTGGCTTCTTCATTTCCTATGCTATTCTTAACATCTCCCTTTCTATTTTGTACCTACAATTTATGTTTCTTTTTTTTTAAATATTTTTTAAAGATTGTATTTATTTATTTTCAGAGAGGGAAGGGAGGGAGAAAGAGAGAGAGAGAAACATCAATGTGTGGTTGCTGGGGGCCATGGCCTGCAACCCAGGCATGTGCCCTGACTGGGAATCGAACCTGCGATGCTTTGGTTCACAGCCTGCGCTCAATCCACTGAGCTGCGCCAGCCAGGGCTCAATTTATGTTTCTTAATCCCTGTACCTTTCCCTCATTCTCCCCCTTCCCTCGCTGCTGATAGTCCTCCATGTGATCTCCATTTTTGTGAGTCTGTTCCTATTCTGGTTGTTAGCTTAGTTTGTTTTTGCTTTTTAGATTCAGTTGTTGATGGTTGTGAGTTTGTTGTCCTTTTAATGTTCATAGTTTTGACCTTCTTCTTTTTCTTAAATAAGTCCCTGTAATGTTTCATATAATAAGGGTTTGGTGATGATGAACTCCTTTAGCTTTGTCTTGTCTGGGAAGCACTTTATCTGCCCTTCCATTCTAAATGACAGCTTTGCCGGATAGAGCAATCTTGGTTGTAGGTCCTTGGCTTTTCATCATTTTGAACATTTCTTGCCAGTCCCTTCTTGCCTGCAAAGCTTCTTTTGAGAAATCTGCTGATAGTCTTATGGGAACACCTTTGGAGGTAACTCTCTGCTTTTCTCTTGCTGCTTTTGAGATTCCCTTTTAACCTTTAGCATTTTAATTATGATATGTCTTGGTGTGGTCCTCTTTGGGTCCAACTTGTTTGGGACTCTGTGCTTCCTGGACTTGTATGTCCATTTCCCTTAACAAATTAGAGAAGTTTTCTTTCTTTATTTTTTTCAAATAAGTTTTTTTGGTTTCTTGCTCTTGCTCTTCTTCTGGCATCCCTATGATTTGGGTGTTGGTGCACTTGGAGATGTCCCCGAGTCTTCTTATTCTCTCCCCATTTTTTTCTTTTTTGAATTCTTGTTTCTTCATCCGTTCTGGTTGACTGTTTGTTTCTTCCCTATGTTCCGGATCATTGATCTGAACCCCGGTTTCCTTCCCTTCACTGTTGGTTCCCTGTGGATTTTCCTTTATTTCACTTAGTGTAGCCTTCATTTCTTCCCTTATGCTTTTGCTGTACTCAGTGAGTTCTCTGAGCATCCTGATCACCAGTGTTTTGAACTCTGCATCTGGTAGGTTAGCTAGCTCCATTTCGTTTAGTTCTTTTTGTGGGGTTTTGTTCTGTTCTTTCCTTTGGGCTGTGTTTCTTTGCCTCCTCAATTTGGCAGCCTCCCTGGGTCTGCCTCTGTGTGTTAGGTAGAGCTGCTTTGACTCCATCTCTCAGGCACCTGCTAATTTGTAGGGGGTGGGGCCTTAGGTATTCACCAGGATGGGGCAACCCACTTCATTACTTTGTGGCTCTGCATGTGGGGGAGGGATTGGAGAGGGGACAGTGCCACTGCCTGGCTGTTGGAGGCTTGCCCAGCACTTGAGCCTTTTCCAGTCACTTCGCCCCATTCCTGTCCATGACTGACACCCCTGCAGCCACTGCCCTGGTGTTGGTTCCCAGTGCGGCTGGGTTTGCTGCGTACTAGGACTGTGCAGACCCTTTAAATGGACTCTCCCCGGAGACCGGCAATTTCTTCCACCGCCCCAACCCCTACTGGTTTTTATAGCCAGAAGTTAAGAGGCTTAACTTTTCTGGTGCTGGAACCCTGGGCTGTGTGGTCTGGCCTGGGGCTGGGATCGCTTGCTCCCCAGGTATCCGTCTTGGTTTTCATCCACCACACGTGAGTGAATGGACTGCCCATTCCACTGGCCACGGCATCCTCTCTGTCTCAGCTCCCCAGCTGCATACCCGTCTGGATGAATATGACTTCTTTAAATCCTTGGTTGTCCGGCTTCCATACAGTTTGGGTTTTTGAGCAGTTCAGGGTGTTTTTTGTTTTTTTTGTTTGTTTTTTTTTAAATGTGTTTCTTTTTTTTATTTTTATTTTTATTTATTTTTTTTAAGATTTTATTTATTTATTTTCAGAGAGGGAAGGGAGGGAGAGAGAGAGAGAGAGAGAGAGAGAGAGAGAAACATCAATGTACGGTTGCTGGGGGTTATGGCCTGCAACCCAGGCATGTACCCTGGCTGGGAATCGAACCTGGGACACTTTGGTTCCCAGCCCGAGCTCCATCCACTGAGCTACGCCAGCCAGGAGGGTGTTTTTTGTTTTGATGTTAGTTGTGATCCTTGTCATGGTTGTGCAAGGAGGCGAAACGTGTCTACCTCTGCCTCCATCTTGACCGGAAGTCTGCTGTCTTTGTTTTTAACTTCTCAGCAGCCTAGCAGTGTCTTTTAAAAGCACAAATCCAAATCCTCTTGATATTCGGGTGACGGGATGTGTTTTAATTGTGCAATCTACAACTTCCCCAAATCATGACAAATACTCAGATCTTTCTTGCTTGTGTCTCAGCTCAAGCCTCCAGTAACATTTTACTGTCATTCTGCTGAGTCTTGCTGGTGTTGATCTTGGGTCTCTCTGCAAATTCTTCCATTGCTGTACTTGTTCATGTCCATGGAGGCAGAGTTGTCAGTGGGGGTGCTGGGGAGTCACAGCAGCAGCAGCCAAGGATACATATTTGTCACTGCTTTGGCCAAGTACCATGGACAGGACACCAAGAAGGATAAGGCCCAGCCCTGACCCAGAGACGCTGGAATTCATGCAGATCAAGGACAAGCCTGCAAGGGGGGAGGTGTGAGGGTCTGACTGTGGGCACACTGGGAACTGGGGGAAGGCTGCCAAATGGGATGGGGCTCACTTGGAGGGGTCAGCGATAAACAGCTGCAAAACCATGACTTGGCCTTCTGTGCCTTCCACTGCTCTTCCCACGATCCCCTGTGCCCGGGCCCTGGGGCCCACTCAGACCCATGTGCCTGGGCTGGTCTCTCCCGGGCTCTCTGGCAAGCTAGTGCTCTCTCTGATGCTGCAGCCAGACTGTGACCTGATGTTTGCCCAGAGGTCTTGTCTTTTGTCTCCCGTCTCTTTGGGGGACACCCCTCTTCGCCTTTTAGTGGATCCCTGGATCTCTCCTACCTGTTCTCCACGTCTCTGCTTAGATGGTCTTCCTCCTGGAAGCCTTTCTTGGCCTGCTCGAGGTGGACTGGTGTGCCTTTCCTGTGCTGGAGAAACAGGCTTTGGCTGGATGCAAGGGGAGTAGATGGGCATTTGGGTGGGTGGGTGGGTGAATGGATGGGGGGAGGAGGTGTGTAAGGTCGGGGGATGAGTGAATGGATGAAGGATGGATGAATGGAGAGGGGGCGGTTGAACGGATGGGAGGTGGGTGCGTGGATGGGGGATGAATGGCTGAGTAGATGAATTAATGGATGGATGGGTGAAGAAGATGATTGGTTAACCAGAGGGACGGTGAGCAGGGGGTGAACTGATTGGGTCGAAGGCAGGAGAGATGAATGGGTAGGTGGGAAGTAGGTGGAGGGAGACGGATAGTGGTGGGTGGGTGGGCAGGTGGGTGCAAAGGAGTCTGGTGTAAAGGAAGGGAAGGGAGACGCGGTTGGCTCAAGCATGTGTGTGGAAGGCCAAGGGAGTCCAAGGCAGGGGGGAGGTGGGGCTCTTTCTCTCCTACGCGCCCCCCCCCCCGCCCCTCGGCCCTCAGCTTCCTGGGAGCACTCTCCTCCCTCTGCCACCGGGAGTGACGCAGCTGTGGGGGCCACAACGGGAGGTGCCACTGGCACCAGGAGCCTTCTTCTCCTACCTCTCTTCCACAAGACTCCACCCTACGCTGCTTTTTTCCTTTCTGGCAATTTTTTTTTTCTTACTGGCCACGACCTGGAGTTTGGGAGGAACTAAGAGCGTTAGGTGTCTCCATGTGCATTCTCTTCCCACTTCCTTCCTCGCCTTCTGCCTCCTTCCCGTCCCCCCCATCCCCCCCACCGGGTCCTCCCAGAAGAGAGCCGCACGCTCAGCCTGGCGGGAGCACAAGGGCAGCGGCAGCCGGGGAAGGCCGCCCAAGCCCCGGTGCCCTCGGCCCCAACCAGCCGGGTCCCTGCCGCCTGGTGCCCGCCCCTGGCCGGCAGCTCCGATTTTTCAGCTCCGGTTTGATCGCCTGCCAGGATCTCCCAAATGTCAGCTGCAGCGTTAGCATCTTTAAGAGAACGCCTGAGGCGATCTTTAAGCAGGAAGGCTGGGGCCCCATGCTGATGAGAGGAGCCTGCTCGGAGCTGACAGCTCTGCCCGTCGCCTCCCCAGCCCCCCAGCCGGGGTTCTGGGAGCCTGCACCACGGACCGTCCCCCCCACCCCCCCCCCAGCACGCACACACACTCTCTGGGTCTGTCCAGCACCTGGGTTTATTTTTAAGCCTGGGCAAACCAGGGCTCCCCACAGACTCCCCCTTCTAGGGAGCTCCAAGCTGGCAGGCAGGGACCTCTCTTGTCACTGCTGTCGCCTTGAGCCTAGCACGGGGCCTGGCCCAGAGGAGGGGTGGGTAAATGTGTGTTCATCGAGTGCCTGAGTGAGCCTCCTGCGTTGCCTGACAGAGGCGGGTGCTGATGGGGATGCTTCCTCCCTCACCCTCACCTCGGGGGTCGGGCGGGGGGTGATGCTCTGAGGGAGGGGAGATGAATCCAGGCCCCAGACGTTGGAGTCAGACCGGCGGGCCTGGGCCGGCGCCCCAGGTCTAGCAGGTGGCAGTGGTGTGGCTTCGGGAAAGCTGCCGGTCCCTTCTGAGCCTCCGCTTCCCCGTCGTCAGTGACATGTACGAAGGAGCCCCATGCCGGCCGCGTGGAGCTGCGGGGCGGACTGATGAGGTGACGGGGACGCCAGGTGCAGGGGCTGCCACCTGGGAGGCACTCAAGGGAGCTGGTCCCCTTCCCCTTGCCCTGAAGGCCCTTCACCTCCTCCTCCTCCTCGTCCCTCCACATCCTGAGTGTGCTCCTCCCCTGGGACTCCTCCTCTTCCAGCCAGCCAGGCGCAGCTGACACTCCTCGGGTCCCCCGGGACTGAGTTTGCTCCGGAAGCGGCACCCACACAACGTGACTGTGATTTCGGTTCTAAGCCGAGCGTCGGTAGGTTTCAGGAGGGCAGAATATATCTTTATTGATTTCTAGATCCCTGGAGGCTTATATAGGTCCTGGGACACAGATGGTGAAGAAAGAAAGACAGACAGAGAGAGAGAGAGAGAAAGAAAGAAAGAAAAGTTAGCTAGTTCGAGCAGAATCAAAGGAACTTTCTGGAAGGTTTTGGCAATAACAGAAGTTCTGCCTCACAGGCTGAGCCCCGCTAACCCCTTCAGAGAACCCCCCCCCCAACAGGCTAGCGAGGGGTCGCTGCCTTTCCCAACGCTCCCGAGCGTCCCTCCAAACCTCGGGGGGGGGGGCAGCTGTTCTTGGTTCTCGGCTGCCCCGTGTCCCACCACAGGTGGGAGGCGGGAGCAGAAGCCGCCCGGCTCGGGTCCAGACTGCCCTGTGGTCCTCGGTCCCCGACACAGGGGCCTCAGCCGCCACCACCACAGCCTCCGGCGCCCACGGCGCCTCCCCGGTCCCCTGGTGGTCAGCGTCCTCTGCGGAGCGGGAAGGTTGTGAAAGTGATCTCCATCCTTGTGGTCTGGTCTCTTTCCACATTTTGTGAGGCCTCTCTCTTGCGACTGAAATACCCACATGTGGAGGTGAGGTGATTCAGAAGAGAAAAGGAGGAGAAGCTCTCTCTGGGCATCCAGTTCCCGCCAGAGCGGGACCAAGCAGGGAAGACAAGAAGCTTGAGCCTCTCCCACTGGCGCTGGCGGCGCGGTCTTGAAGGGGCTGGTTGGAACCGGTGTGCTGGACGGGGGGGTGGGGGGGAGTCGGTGTGAATGAGCACTCCGCTCACATAAGTGTGTGTGTGAGAACTGGAAGGTGTAGGGACAAGGCTCAGAACGGTTACACAACAAAAATACAATGAATGGATGGGTGGATGACAGGCAGATGGATGGACCCATGGGTGGGGGGTGGTGTTGGGATGGGTGATGGCTAGATGACTGGATGAGTGGATGAATAAGTAGATGGATGGATGGATGGATGGATGGATGAACAGACAGATGGATGATGGAGGAGTGGGATGATGGATGAGGAGAGATGTGTGGATGGGAAGACAGATGGGTGGATGGGTGAATGGGTGAGACGGATGGATGGATGGAAGGGGGGTGGATGAGTGGTGGATGGGTGGTGAACGAATGAGTGGACAGAGGTGTGGGTGAGAAGATAGGTGAATGGGTTCAGGGCAGTTGGATGAATAAGTGGATACGTGGATGGATGGCTGGATGGGTGGATGCATGGATGGATGCATGGATGGATGGATGGATGGGTGGATGGATGGATGGTTGGATGGGTGGATGGATGGATGGATGGATGGGTGGATGGATGGATAGATGGGTGGATGGATGGATAGATGGGTGGATGGTTGGATGGGTGGATGGATGGATGGGTGGATGGGTGGATGGTTGGATGGATGGATGGATGGATGGCTGGATGGTTGGATGGGTGGATGGATAGATGGGTGGATGGGTGGATGGTTGGATGGGTGGATGGATGGATGGGTGGATGGGTGGATGGGTGGATGCGTGGATGGGTGGATGGATGGGTGGATGGGTGGATGGGTGGATGGGTGGATGGGTGGATGGATGGATGGATGGATGGTGGATGGATGGATGGGTGGATGGGTGGATGGGTGGGCGAGTGGGCAGGTGGGTGAGTGAATAGATGTGTAGATGGTGGCAGCGTGGATGGATCAGCGGATGCATAGGCGGACAGGCGGACCGGCGGGAGGACAGGTGGATGGGGGTGAGCAGTGGCGGACAGCAAAGAGCACACTGGTTGGGGGTCAGGGAATCTTTGCTTCTGCCTTGATTCTGACCCTAATCCCTTATGGGACCTGTACGTCATCTGGCCTCCTTGAACTTGGGCTTCTTTATCTGTCTCATGGGGCACAACAGCCCCTGCCCCCCACCAGCCAGTGCTCAGAGAGATCCCTGGTCTGTGAGTGTCCCCTGGCACCACGGCCTCTCCAAGCCTACTGACCAGTGTCTCCCTGCCCACGTGACTATCCTGCGACAGGCCTCCTCTATCCTGTGCTCACGGCGACCTTCTGTGCCGTTTCCACCAACACTTGACAGTAGGGGCTGAGGGAGTTCTGTGCACAGCCAAGTCCACGCACGGTTGGTGGCGCCCACGCCCCGGAGTCTGGTCCAGCCCGGCCGATGCAGGCTGGGGAGAAGAGGCCATGCTTGAGATCAAGAGGGGGACCCCGAGCCCTGCTCCGGCATTCTGTGTGGGACCTGAAGTGAGTCACCCCGTCTCTCTGAGCCTCACGTTCCCGTCTGAAAACTGGGATAATAGCAGCACCCCCTGCCCAGGGCGCCCCCGAGGCTCCGTGATGAGACGCACACGGGCGCTCGGCCCAGAGCTGGGCTCAGGGCGGCTCCCACGGTGAGCCAAACGACTGACTGCCCGCGGGCCTGGCTACTGGCGGGCCTGGCAGCCTCTGTGCGAAGACGGTCGGTCTGGCTGCCCACAGGATTCTGGGACGGGGGAGGCAAGGGCCAGGGGTACAGGCTGGCCCACAGCGGGGCAGCCAGCTCTGATGCCAGCTCGGTGCGGTTGCTCTGTGGTTTCCCATGCACCTCGTCCAGGACGACCCTGGGCCTGAGAGCACTTCCTGTCACCAGCTGGGTGACCCCGGGCAAGCCTCTCGCCCTCTGGGTCTTGGTTTCCTCCACGGGAAAAAACCACGGGGGCCTCAGAGTGAACAGTCTGCGTAGCCGGCCAGTGAGGTGCGTGGGGCCCGCGCCCCTTACCGCTGGAGGTCTACCGAGGACCTGGAGCTGAGGGGTGGCTCTGTGGCCCTCAGCGTGCCCCCTGCGTCCTGTGGCTCCTCCCTGCCAGCCCCTGGCTCTCCCTGGCCACCGGTGGAGTCCTGGCTGTGAGCTGGGGGTCACCGGGCTCTCCTGGCAGTGGAGCCCTGAGAGACGGCTCCTGTGGCCTCGCCTCCAGAGGACCCCCAATGCCTTGCCTGGCAGACTGTGGGTGCCACAGTCTCCATGGGTTGTTTGGGTCAGGCGCCCCCTCAGACCCGAGTGACCTGGGGCTTGGGAGAGATGCCGGGTGGAGAGGAGTAGGGACTCCGGGGCCCTGGGGGCAGCAATGGGGCGAGGGCCCCCCTCCAGCCCGGGGGGGTCCCTCCTCCCCACCCCCACTGCCTCAGACTGTTGAAATGCACCTTCACCACGGCTGTCCCTCCCCACCTCGGACAGCCAGGCTGTGACTCAGGGGCTGGCTTGCCTGAAACAGCAGGCTGGGGGTTGCCAGGGCCAGGTGGGTGATGGGCCTGGTGCTAGTGCTGGGCCGCCAGCCTGGGGAGGAGCTCTGTGGGGGGCGGGGGCGGGGCACCGGGTACCAGGAGGGCACCGTGCCCTGCCGAGGTGGTGCCCCTGCTCCCCAGGGCTCCCTCCATGGCCCTGTGTCCCATCTGCGCCCACCTGCCTCCCCGAGTTTCTCCAGCAACACGGATCTCTCCCATCCTCTCCACGGGGCTTCCGCTGTGTTCTGAGAATTTCAAATCCATACCCGGGTGTGGGGCTCCACAAATGCTCCCTAAGAAGGGCTACCTCTCCGGACAGAATACACCTGACCTTGGGCATCTGCACTTGACAACCAGGGAAACTGAGGCCAGACAGGAGCGCAGCGGGAGGGCTGGGGATGGGCCAGGACGCACCCCTGTCGGGGTCCTGGGTTCACTCTGCCTCCCAGTCAGAAGCAGCTGGGGCGGGAGAGGTGTCACAGAGGTCAAGGACCTTTGTCCCGAAACTAAACAAGCTCCCTGGCCTTACTTTCCCATCCGGGGAATGGGGTGCTGGGGGAGGCGGATGCTGGTTGCTCCCAGAGGGCGGCCTTTGAGCTAGAGCGCACAGGCAACCGAAGGAGCACGTCACTGTCTCCTAGTCTCTGAGGGCCAGGGAGGGGCGGCACCACCGGAGGGGCGGGGGCAGGTGAAGGGGGTGTCTGGGCAGGGATCTGTCCGGGTCAGCACCCCCCACATTCCCCCCACCCAGCTCGGCGCGTCTCCCTCCCCGCGGCACCCCGTGCTGCCCGCGCCCCTCCTCTCCCCGCCTTCTGACTGCCAGCGCCTCCCGCAAAGCCCCCAGACCCCAGCTGCAGTGCTTCTGCCGCTTTGACCAGCCGCTCAGCCGCCCTCCTCCCCTCCCCCTCCATCTCCCCCCTCTCTCCATCCGCTCCCCAGCATCCTCACCTCCCCTTCATCGCCCTCCCTCCGCTCTCCCCTCTCCATCCTCTCTCCACCGCCCCTCTCCATGCTCTCACCTCCCTCCTCCTCCCTCCCTCCCTCCCTCTCCGGGGGAAGAAAGGTCACCGTGCAGCTGATTACTCAGAGCTCAGTTGCTGTAGCAACCGGCGGGGGAAGTGGGACAGGCTGGCTTTGAGGACGCGTGAGGTCGGCCGCGGGCGGCGGCAGCCAGCGTGGGCCTCTGAGCTCCGGCGAGAGGGCGGCTGCCGCCGCCCGGCCCCTCGGCCGCCGCGGGCCGGGCTCCGGGGCTTCATTTTTAATGAAGAATTTCTGCTCCCCTCTCGCACCCCTCCCCGCCTCCAGCCCACCTCCCTGGGGTCTGGAAGGGGAGGTTCGCCCCCCCACCGCGGCTGGGCTGCTTGTCTCTCTCCGGTTCTCCGTCTCTGTCTCTGTCTCTCCCCCTTTGCCAGCGTTCTGATGGCTTCTTCCTTTCTGCTCTTTGAGCTCCGAGGGACACACACACACACACACACACTCACACACTCACACACTCACACACACTCACCTCTCACCAGCTTGGTAAGGAGCCCAGTGAAGCCCTCAGCCCTGTGCACAAGCCTTTGTCCCTGGCCTGGGAGGCCCCAGCTAGAGGCCAGGGCGCACAGAGGGTCCGAGGCCGACCCGGGCACGCTGGCATTGGCCTGAGCCCACCGCCCGCCGGCCCTGCCCCCGGAGCTGCCGGGCCCCTGGGAAGGCAGCAGTCCGCTCCCAGAGGAAGCCAGACGCACAGGGGAGGGGACCGCTGCTGCGTGGGGACAAGGGAGGCCCTGCTCCTCTGGGTGGGGTGGGTGGGGGTGGGTGCAGCCCAGCCCCCTGCCGTCGCTTGGCTCCTTCCACCAGCAGCCCGGGCAGCCTCCCGCTGGGAAGCAGGGCCAGGAGTGGGGCGGGCTTGGGGCTTGGCAGCGAGGGACACGGGGCTCTGGAGCTGGTGGGCCTGCGTGCAGGCCCCCACCCCCCTGCGGGACTCTCCTCCACCGCCTGGAGAATGCAGCGGTGCGGCCACTTTCAGAGCCACTGGGCAGCTTTTTAAAGAGTGAAGGTACACTCGGGGTGGGGCCAGCTGTTCCCTTCCCAGGTGTTTATGCCAGAGAAGCAAAAACCTCGGTCCTCGCAGACTTGTACACGGATGGGTATTCACAGCAGCTTTCCTTGTAACGGGCAGAGCCGGGAAAGGCCCAGTGGCCTTCAGCAGGTTCCGGGGCACCCTCGCTCTGGAACACCACCCAGCAGTCGGAAATGACCTACGGATATGACAGCACCGGGGGCATCTCAAGGTCACGGTGCTGCGTGGCAGGAGCCCAGTGACAAAGAATGCATCCTGTGTGATTCCGTTTGTGGAACATTCTAGAAAGCACAACCTAACCTATCGTGACAGGAAGCAGCTCAGTGGTTTTCTGGGGGTGCTGGGGGCCAGGAGGTCCCACAAAGGGGCACAAGAGAACTTCTGGAGGGTGGTGGCTGTGTTTGCTGTCTGGATGGTGGGGGTGGGTTGAGGGTCCAACATCTAAGCCAAGGCTCACCAACTCGGGCCGTCCGCACAGGCGCGGTGACTGTGTGCCCATGACACCTCAGCGCATGGGAAACAGTTGCTGCTCTGCCACACGCCGGCTGCGTAATAACCTTGGGCAGGTCACCTCGCTTCTCCAAGCCGCACTGAGGATCGTGGGGTGGCGACAGTGCCCCAACTGGGACTGAACCTGCAGCCCAGGCCTCTGCTGCAGCCGGGAATTGAACCGTGACTTTGTTCACGTTGCAGGACAACGCCCAGCCAACAGAGCCGCCGTGGTCAGGGCGAGACGCGGCCTGTTTTGGGGTGTCTCCCACTCCTTCCCAATGGGAAGGGGAGCCCCTGCTCCCTGCCAGGTCCCCTGCTCCCTGGGTAACCGAGGGAGAAAGAAACAAGCTCTAACTCTGTCCTCGTGTGTATGTGTGTACTCGGGGTGACGGACATACCCTGACAGCTGTGACCTGCAAAAGAGGGGTGTGCGCACGTGCAAAGGCCCTGCGGCAGGTGGGGGCGTGGTGCCCCCCAGGACCCACAGGAAGGGTGTCTGTGGCCGGAGTGCAGGCAGCAAGAGGGGCACAGACAGGCCCCGTCTCATGTGGCGTCTTGCAGACCCTGCTGAGGGCCCCGAGGGTCGCGGCGCCCCACGGAGCCCCTCATCCGTGAGAATGGACAATAAAGGTCTGGAATGAGCTCGGGCAAGGGCGGCTCTCGGCCCAGAGCGCGGGCATCGTCACCGTGGTCCTTCCCCGTGGGCAGTGGCCGCTCCACTGTGGCCATGGACCCAGATGTCTCACGGGCCTGTGCCAGCCGGGGCCCTGTAGACAGGGGGGGGGGGCGGTTACATTTGCTGTGACAGTCACTCCCCGAGCTCCCGTCCCCCCAGCCTCCCCTGCACACACAGCCGGCGGCCTGAGCAGGGCCAGGTTCAGTCCTCTTGCCCAGCAATCCTCCCACCCTGCCCTCGAATGTTCTAGAAGCATACAACCTGCAAAGAGGGAATCAGGAAGAAACAGAAAACCTAACTAGGCCAGTGACTAGCAATGCAAGGAAAGCAGTCATCAAAAACTCCCAGCTCACAGAAGTCCAGGACCAGACGGCTCCACGGGTGAATTCCATCAAACACCTGAAGAAGAATTGAGACCTAGCATACTTAAGCTTTTCCCAAAAATTGAAGAGGAAGGGACGCTCCCTCCCCACAGCACCCCACCCCGATCCAGCCTCGCCGTCTCTAGGTCTCTAGTCACTCACGGGGCTCCAGCTCCTCTTCCTCCGCCTGCCCCCTCCTCAGTGCGGCCCCCGCGAAGCCCCGGGAGCCTTTAAAGACGTGACCAGGCTGTGTCCACCCCGATGGCTTCCCACCGCACCCCGAAGGGCACGGGACCCTGACTGTGCCACAGCCCCCGTCCAAGTCACCCTTCCCCCCCACCCCCGCCACTCCCTGCCCTCCCGCCCCCACCTCCTCCCTCTCCCAGGCCTTCGCACTTGCTGTTCCTGAGACTCGGAACCCCCTCTCCCCGCCCCGCTGGGACTCTCTTCTTCTCCCTTGGGGTCTCAGCTCAGATGCCACCTCCTCAGGGAGGCTTCCATCCTGCACCCCATCCCCTCCTTCGCCCTCCCCGCCCCCAGCCTTCACAGTGCTCGCTGCGCCTGAACTGCCTCCTCGCCAAGTTCACCTCGTGTCTTTGGCTGACCTTCAAGGAGCTCCCTGAGGACAGGCGCTGGGCCCGTCTTGCTCACCTGTGCGTTCTGTGGCCCACACCGTGTCCGGATCAGAGAGCGAAGGGATGACTGGGTGACTGGGTGGATGGATGAAGGAGCGAGCGAGGGAAGGGGTGAATGCATGAATGGATGGAGGATTGGCTGCCCCTGTGTGTCTCGGGAGGAGACGGTCCCCAGGGGCCCCAGGACAGCCGGGGGTACAAAGGAGGCCTCCCTAGCTCTCTTCTCCTGACCGTTTCCCACCTCCCCAGCCACGATCGCCCCGCCCGAGGCCAGAACACAGGAAGGACAGCAGCGGGGAGCCCAAGGCCCTGGTGCCTGGAGCCCCACCCCGACGTACTCGCCAAGGGACAGGACAGTGTGGGGGCTGAAGCCCGGCGAACAGAGTTCAAACCCCAGCTCTGCCACCGGCAGCTGGGGTGCTGAGCGGACGTCTCCGTCTCCCCACGTTCTCGTCCGTGACGGGGAGAGGGTGACCGTGTCCGTGTCGCAGGGCCAGCACGCCTGGTGTGTGCTGAGCACCCAGTAAGTGGCAGCCCCCCCGACAGCATCAGCCAAGCCCCTGCCTGGAGCCAGAGCCCTCAGGGAGACTTCCAAGGTGAAGGGCTCCTTCGCACCCCCACCCCCACCAGGGAACCTCTTCCTGTGTCGGGAAGCCCCTTCTAGAAAGGCCTGGGTGTCCCCTTGATCTGTGACCGTGTTCAGGCTTGGAACACCTTGCAGCGTGTGGAGTCCAGCGCCCTTTCCCGTCGCCCCTCCCACCAGACCCGGAACTGAGGCTCCGAAGGAGGCCGTCGGTCACCAGGGCCACAGCTCCCGCCCGGTGCTCCTTGCCAGCGTCCTCAGAGCAGCAATCCCCGCTGGGGGATTTCTGGGGAGAACCCCCTTGCTGGGAGTCCTCTCTTGGTCTAGGAGCTCTGTGGTGGTGGCGGGAACTCTGACTGTCTTGTTCGCTCTGTGGGCCCAGCAAAGGCCTGGGACCTGTGAATGAATGAATGAATGAATGAATGAACAAGGGCAGAAGCCATCTGCCTCCCAGAGCAGCATCTCAACTCCAGCAGGGTCAGAGGCCAGGCCCGGCCCAGCGGAGGTGGTTGCCAAGGTTACTTCCAAGAGTCTCTTGACAAGAGGAAGCTGACGACAGAAGGACAGGATACGGCTGCAGCAGGCGGGGTGGGGGCGCAGAGCCCCTGCCCAGGCCAGGATGCAAGAGGCACAGGAAACGGACACAGGTGGACCGGCCATGGGGGCGTGGTGTGGGGGGAATGACAGGATGCGGCCGAGGGTCTCAGCCACTTCCTCTGCACAGGGCACGGACTCGATGGTTTTATCCTCGGTGCGGGACCCTCCTTTCTGCCCCCACCCGGCACCCAGAGGATACTCAGAAATTGTGTGTTGATTCACTGTGTGCATGAATGAATGAATGAATGAATGAATGAATGAATGCTTTCATCAGCCTTTCCTGACCCTTCTGGTAGTCAAGAAGAGTGGGTCAGTCCAGGGGATGTTGACTTCAGGGCAGAGCGAAGCTTTCTTGCCGTTCCAAAGAGAATATTGACCATAACTATGCGGGCTCTTACTGCCGGCACCTACTAAGCCGCTGCTTCGTGCTGGGTGCTCAATTTCTCCGCATTGCTTCTCTGCTATCCAGTGACTCCTCGCCACCCTAGGAAGGCGTTGACAACCTCATTTTACAGATGAGGAAACTGAGGCTCCAGAACGAGAAGGTTCTTGTTCCCGGTTACCCAGCACGTCAATGGCATTGTTGAGATTCAAGTCAGAGTCTTTCCAAGTCTGGAAACTCTGTTCTTCTTCTTTTTTTTTCTAAGATTTTTTTTTTTTTTTTTTAGAGAGGGGAAGGGAGGGAGAGAGGGAGAGAAGCATCCATGTGTGGCTGCCTCTTGCATGCTCCCTACTGGGGACCTGGCCTGCAACCTGGGCCTGTGCCCTGACTGGGAATCAAACCAGCGACCCTTTGGTTTGCAGGCCGGCACTCAATCCACGGAGCCACACCAGCCAGGGATGTAAACTCTGCTCTCAAATACACATTCTCAGGCTGATGGCAAGATGCCTTATCACTCATCCATCCATCCGTTCATTTACCCATTGTTTCTTTCCACGGGCAACTGCTGGAATCCTCCCTGCGCCGTGCCCTGCGCTGGGCACCAGAGCAGCCGCTGCTGCATGAGACTCCTCATCTGGAGGGCAGGGCTCCACCCAAGTAATTCATTCATCACGGAAAGTGCTGGGCAGGAGAGAACTGGAGTGCGGCGCTAGCATATGCGGGGGACCTGCCAGGCCTGGGGACCTGGGAAAAGGCTTAGTGTGCAGACTGCAAGGCGGAGGGAGGCAGGCGGCCCCGGTAGGGAGGTGTGGACAGGGGGCAGGCAGTCGAGGACTGCAGAGTGAAGGAAAGAAAAGGACTCAGAATCCTGATCCGAGCAGGCACTGTTTGTTCATCCAGCTCTTTTTCTCCACAAGCACCTGGCTTG